TGTTGGAGACCAACCTTGCAAGTGACTGAGTCACATTCCCCCGCTGGGTGCTGAGGTGCTCAGTCACAGAAATGTGGCAGAGCTTCCCCACCCTTCTTGAGTTCGAGGGTCGGTGTCTCGCGCATGGGTGTGCCTTGCTACAGCCCCATGGGTGCAGCTATGCTCACCTGTTCCTTTGTAATATAACCCCTTGCCCTGTTTAGGGTAGAAGCTTCCATGGAAGTGCCTTGTATGTGTCCCCTTCTCTTACTGTGCCCTTGGGTGTGGCCTACCCAGGTGTCAGTCAACCTGCTGACAGGGGACATCATGAAGATAGACTCAGCCCCCTGAAACCTGACCCCTGCCTCATTTAAATAGCTTCTCCTCAATAAAAGGGGTCAGCACATGCTCTCGCTATCTCTCTTCCTGCAGACTCTTAAGGTCACCCATCACAGCGACCCCAAAGAAAAAGGTATTTGTGTCTCTTGTGTAGTTATTTTGTGCAGCCCAGTTAGCCCAGTTCAACTGGAGTGATCCCTGAGCCTTTTAGTCRCRAGAACAGAAACCYGGCAAAAGCCCAAAACTAACAGGACATGCTATGTGACATATCAAGGTTCAAGAAACATCTTTCAAAAATGTAGGGAACCGCCATGGAAAGAGAAGGACAGGGCATYAAGGGTAGCAAATGCCATAAACTATAAGGCTGAGTCATCCAGACGAAGATTCCCAGAACTCCTCTCAGGCCTCCTCTGAGCTTCTTGCTGAAGTCTGAGGAGCTGTGACTACGATGCTCTAGCAACTGAAAGGGTATTTCTGGAGGAGAGGCAGCAGCGGTGCTGGAGAGCCAGCTTTTCAGTCCCACTCAGGCAAATCATTGTCATGAGAGCTTAAGGGAAAGATGGTGAAGTTCATGTTTTCAATACAAAATCCTCCTTTGGGTGTCAGTTACACTCTTAGGAGATCAATGCCCTTCACTTGTGCCTAACTGCTATGGCTCATGCCCAGAGCACCAGTCTGCTCTCCTGCCTGCCTAGTTTCATTCTTTCAGGGTCCTAAACAGGAAATGTGTGATTACTACTCATTTCCTAATGGTCAGTCTGAGCCTTAACCATAAAAGAGAAATAAGTAAACTGAGAAAAGGGTCAATGAAAACTTCTACGGTTACCAGAGTCCTAGGACAGAGGTCTGACTCTAAAGGCCCCAGAAACCAGGTCTGACCACTCACCCCAAAAAACAAACAGAAAAGGTAATAGTAAAAAGAAGGAAAAGAACTTTAATCAACATGGTCATACTGGGAAGGCAAAGTGAGATCCAGCATCTCAGCCCCAACTTCAAGTTGATGACATGAGCTGTAGGTTTCAATAGAGGAAGAAATGGAGCAGTGGGCAAGAGGTCTACATAGTTATGCTGTTTTGGTTAAAGTGTGGTCTTGTTGATGATTTTCTCAACTCTTATTCTGCAACATGGCTCTGAAGAAGCTCTTTATCACTTGGAAGGGGAAATTCCCACTTGTTGCTCGGGATGTTTATCTGGAAGGCTTCTGATCCTGGAAGGGCATGATTCAGTTCCCCTTAGATGATCCTGCTTAGGGGAGCAGTCTTATCCTGGGTTTACCTAGTTTATCTTGTCCACCTTCAAGACTGATGCAAGATTTGTATCATCATATCTAAGACCTTTGGAGTGGGGCCTAGAAGTCTGCAGTCATTGCTCTGTGCAGTCAGTGGAGCCTTGCAGGCACATCAACCCAGGATAAAACTGCAGACTTCTAGGCCCCACTCCAAAGGTCTTAGATATGATGATACAAATCTTACATCAGTCTTGAAGGTGGACAAGATAAACTAGGTAAACTTAAGGCTAAGTTTACCWAGTTATTAGAGGAGCACTCCTGAAATGATCAACAAGCCTACCTGCAGAGCCCAGCAGGGGCCTGACTCACAGTTTAAGGTAACAAACTGAAGGCAGGGATGTCAAGCTTTATGCTGCTTTCAGTTATCCATGGGGTATCTGCAAGTCTAAGTAAAGGGTCACTGCTTTTAGCACAGTCAGTCCTTGTCCCTGTTACCCCAATTTCAACATTGTGTTCTGAACACAAAAGTATTGAGACTATGGTTTCTTTAATTACTTTTTCAACTTCTTACCCTGCTTATTTTACCTGCTTTTTTGAATATTTTGCCTGAAGTATCTTTTGGGACTACTTTCCAAAAACTCTTCAGTAGAATTCATTCGGAATGTTTCCTTAGTCCTGCCTGCATTCTATTTCTTCAATCRTGGCCCAGTAACTTGGCTTCTTTGACAGTCAACTGCCTTGTAAGTAAAATAAGACAGTGGGCCCACATACACCACATAGTTTCMGATTAAATAACAGTGTATATTAATGTCTTTTTATGTTTGTATCATCACCACTTTTTCCTCTTTCAGTCCACTCTGTAGTGGACAGTTAAATTTGCTGCCTTGTCTTGGGATGAACGCATTCATGGTTGAGGGCTCCCCTCCAAAGGACTTAGTAACCTGAGCTAATCATCCCCAGCAGGAAGATAGGGAAGTGTTATCAGTTTCTCCCCTGGATCTACCACAAGATTCTGACTTTTTTTTTTTTTTTTTTTGCTTCCCTCTCTGGGTTTCTGTTCCCTTGTCTCTACTTGCATGGAATAACACATGAATGAGCATAATTTGAGTTTCCTACTTGATCAAATGTCTAATTCATATCAAAATCACAGAGCTTTTTATTCAATATGTCTTCAAAATCCCAAGGATGCTCTGTGTATTAGAAGGGTCTGAGACTAGTGTTATCCATTACTGTAGGATTTAACACTCTTATTCTTTCTCCTCTTATCCTAGAAGCAATGTCAAAGATGGAAAGACGTCTGGTCTCTGCTGTCCTCCCTCTCTTACTGCTGGACTTGATGGATTGTGATCTCATGAGCCAGGCATGGACTGTCCCTGACTGTACCATAGCAGATAGCTCCCTATTGTCAAATCTCTCCTTCTACATCCCATTTTGTCCCTTGGCCCCAGGGCTGCATACTTTTGCATCATGCTCCAATGTTACAGACCTGACACAGACCCTGAGAGCAGTGCCCCAGGATATACAGGCACTTTGCCTCCAGGGCATGGTTCCTGTCCTGCCAGCTAATGCATTTGGTCACTTCCCCTWCCTACAGCTTTTGAGGCTACAGCTGGGCACCCTCAAGATTACATCTGAGGCCTTTCAAGGATTGAATCAGCTGCAGTACCTTTCCTTTGAGCATCATGCTCCCTGTTGCTTGAGTCTTTTTCTCCCTCAGGATGCCCTGATGCCTCTCACATTCCTCATTAGTCTTTCCTTTCAAGGCTACTGCCTGAATTATAGCCAGAACATCCAGTTGCCAATCARCCTTAGGCATCTAACCCTAGGGCACAGCTGTTTGATGGAGCTACAGGAGCTACAAGTGCTCTTCTCAAACCTTGTGCCTAGTTTTTCTCCTACAGCCAGCCCCAGACCATGGTCTTCCTTCCTAGAAGTGTTGGATTTGTCTTACAACCTGAAGCTGAACCAGGCAGGTGTCAGAGCCTTGAATGGCCTCCAGCTCCMTTCCCTGAGATTGGATGGCACCCCATTAAATGCATTAGATCTTTTAGGCTCAGGACTGCTCCATCTGGATTTTCTGTCCCTTGTGGGTACAGGTATGGAAAAACTGCCTGGGAAAGTGTCAGGCTATTTTGAGCTTCGAGCACTTGACCTTGGGAGAAATCGAATCCAAAACATAGAGGATGGAGATCTCTCAAGCTGCCGTTCCTTAGAACATCTCAGCCTTTACGGCAATGGCCTGAAATTGCTTCCCATAAAGTTTCTAAATGCCCTGCCCCAGCTTCAAAGTCTCAACCTATCCATGAATAAGCTGGGTCCAACCTTGGTGCTTCCAGATGGGCTGGTTAGCACAAACTTGAGAGTGCTAGATCTGTCCAACAATGAGTTATGTGTTCTTCCCTATGGAGCCTTCTCCTTTATTCCTCAACTTGAGGAGCTGTGGCTGAGTGGCAACAACATCTCCAACTTATCCAGTGAGAGCCTGGAGGGACTAAAGCAGCTGAAGACACTAGACCTAAGCTGGAACAAAATTAAGGTGCTAAAACCAGGCTGGCTCTCCTTTCTTCCTGCTCTCACCTCACTAAACCTGCTGGGCACCTATTTAAGTCATATCCCAGGCAAGGAGCTCCAAGGTCCCCAGAGGCTGAGCCATCTGCAGCTGGGTTCACTTCAGATGCTGGACCTCTATCCTCCCTGGCCTCCAGCTCTGCTCAGCTTAGAGATATGGGCAGAAACAGGTATCTGGTTTAATAACTTCAATGAAGATACCTTCTTGTTCCTGGAGAAGCTGATCTTACAAACTTCCAACGTGGTACTSTCTCCATACAACACCTCAGTTCATTTTCCTTCCCTGCGTCACCTCACTCTTCGAGGCGTAAGCTTCTTTGGCTTCTCAAGTCAAGAGTCTCAGAGATCCTTCCCTCAGTTTCCTGTCCTGGAGCACCTGCACTTCTGGTCTGATTATGGGAGTACAGAAAACCTGCAACTATTTGGGATGCCCAAGCTTCGAGTGCTCGAGCTCGGAGATCTGAATTTCCACTATGAGTCAAGGTCAACRAAGCTGGAGCTGGTACTGAAGGAAGTGCCTCAGTTACAGGTGCTGGCATTGAGCCACCTGAATCTTGGGAACCTCTCCATGTCCAGTTTCAGGGACTTGGACCACCTGCAGCTACTGCTGTTCAACTCTGAATGGACCCTGSGGTTAGACAGCAGCCTTCAGGAGTTAATCCCCCAGATGCCTCAATATGTTTATTTCTCAGATGTCACCTTCACCTGCCAGTGTGAAAGCTCCTGGGTGGGGCYTTGGGCAACACAGGCCCCCAACACCTTTGTATATGGGCTGGAGAAATCCATCTGCATGGCCAATGCTTCTGACTACTCCAAGACTCCACTGCTCTCCTTCCTTTCTCATCAGTGTGCACATGATCTTGAGTTTCAGGGCTTTCTTGCCAGCTTTACTCTGGTGCTCCTGTTCACTATCCTTGTACTGCTTGGCTGCCCCAAATGGTCCTGGCTTCACCATCTCCGGACTCTTTTTCATGTGTGGTGGTGGAAACTATGTGGGCGTGGCCCCAGAAGCCAATTCCACTATGATGTCTTTATATCCTACTGTGAGCAGGACCAAGACTGGGTGCTGGAAGAACTGGTTCCTACACTGGAGAAGTCTCCTCCAGCAGGTGAGGGCTTGAGGCTGTGCCTGCCAGAGAGGGACTTTGGGGTTGGGCAGGACAGGATGGATGCCCTGGTTGCCAGCATGGAGAACTGCAGGGCCATCCTCTGTGTACTCAGCAACAAAGCCCTGGGGAGTCCCCGGTGCCATCTGGAGTTAAGGCTTGCCACCTATCACTTGGTGGCCAGACCTGGAACAGCTTGCCTCCTACTGCTATTTCTGGAGCCTATTGATCGGCGGAAGCTATGCGGCTATCACCGCCTCACCAGGTGGCTTCAAAAAGAGGACTATTTTGATTTGCCTCAAGGGAGGGTGGAGTGGGATGTTTTCTGTGAGCAACTTCAGAAAAGGCTAAGGAAAGCTGGACAAGAAAGAGATGATTAAGGGTTTGAGAGATCTAACCATACAGGAATATCTTAGCAGCAACCTGGATGCCATCATATATTCTGAAGGCAGGGGGTCTGAGGTGATACATACTTCAAATCTATTAAAATGATACAAATGAAGATACCAATTCCTAGTGAGAAAACATTTTAAAGTACTAGAAATAAGATATTCATTCATAGGACAGTTATGATACTGGCTAGGCCTTTCACAGCACAAAATATCCCTCAAAAAGCAAATACACAAAACATCCTTTTCTGCTTTCCATTTTTTTTCTGAAATAAACATGTGTTGCTTTCATAGTAGTAAAAAAAAATAAATTATCTTTCAAAAATGAAAAAACAACTTAGTATAGACTAATTAGTGTAACAATCTACTTACTGTTGGCAAGACTGTGTCCTTTACTACCAGCTATCTAAACTCATTATAAAGCTATACTAATTTAGAGGATGTGCTACTGATACAATAAAAAGCCAGATGTTATCAAACAARGAATCCAGAAACCAACTCATGTACACACATACCTTTAGTTTATGATAAAGGAACTTCATAGTGGAGGTAAAAGAAGGTCTTTTCCATCTAAAAAAATATATATATATGAAAGGTCAAATGGATTTCTATATGAAAAAGTAAAATTAAACCACAACTTCATGCCACACACAGAAAGTGGAGCCAAGGCAGATTGCAGATTTTAAATGTGGAAGGTGAGATAGTAAACTTTCTAGAAAATAAAGYAAAATGTTTTCATGACTTTGAAATAAGCAAAAAATAATAATTATAAATGAACTGGACTAATAAGTCAGAAGAATCAAAATTTAAAAATTCTGTTTATTAAAATAAAATTGAGGGCTGGGATTGTGGCTCAGTGGTAAAGTGCTTGCCTAGCTCATGCAAGGCATTCAGTTCAATCCTCAGCAACACATAAAAGTAAATAAATAAAATAAAGGTAAAAAAATGAGAATGGAAAATCAAGCCACACAAATAGTTGAGAAAACATCTGTAACAGATGTAACTGACAAAAGGCTTATGTCTAAARTATATTTTTATTAACACATTATTCATACATAATAATAGCATTCGGTGTGATATTTCCACACATGTACAATGTGTTGATCATGTCCAACCACTTTTATTCCAGCCTCACCACCCACTCTCACTCCAATACCCTCCCCAGTTTCTACTAATCACTCTTCTACTTTCAGATCAATTTCAGTTACTTTCCATATATAGGAGAGTACATGTGGTACTTGCCTTTTTCTGTGTGACTTATTTCATTTTAGATAACCTCCTCCAGTTCAATCAATTTTGCTGCAAATGCCAGAGTTCATTCTTCTTTATAGTCTAATGATATATCATTGTGTATATACACTGTATTTCCTCTATCCATTCTTCTTTGATGGATAGCTGGCCTAATTCCAGGTTCCTATTGTTTTATAAATTATATTTTATATGCCCTTAATCTTTATACCCTCTTTGTCATATATCCCAACCCAATGATGTGGATGTTTGTTTTGTTTAGTGATGTCCCAAATATATTGAATGCTGTATTTATTTGTGTGTGTGTGTGTGTGTGTGTGTGTGTGTGTGTGTTTGAATGGGGTATTTCAAAAGGCCTGTCTTCAAACTCAGATATTTTTTATTACACTGTCTCTTCTCTGTTATTGAGGCCCTCAACTGAATTTTTGACTAATTGAGCTGTTCACATTCAAGATTTTTGTTTGGTTCTTTTCCAAAACCTCTATCTCCTTATTGAGTTTCTCACTCATAKCCTACTTTGTCTTCCCAATTTAACTTCAGTATTTGACAGTGTATTCTCTTGTATTTCATTGAGCTTTTTTATAATAATTGTAATTTTTATCAGGCATTTCATTCGCTCAAATTTCTTTGGAGTCTAATGCTAAAGCATCATAATCTTTCAGAGGTGTTACATTATCTTGATGTTTTTATATCCCTTATGTTCCTRCTTTGAGATCTGCAGAATTTGGTAACTCAGATATCTCTACCACTTTCATAGGATGGCTTTCTTAATCAGCAGCTTTCTCCTAAAGACGTGTGTTGGGTTGTTTGTTATGCAATGTTGGCTTTATTTCCAAATGGGCATCATAGTGTCATCTCCCTCTAGCTTCCTTGACTGTTGTAAGTGAATTTGGGGACAATGTGTTACATGTCAGAGACCACGGTCTCTGTAGGACACTCTAGCAGCTGAGCTGTACATAGCAGAGTGTGTAGGGTGCACARTGTTTGGCTACTCCTCCACTAGGAGTGCTGACACCTACTGGGGGATGGGTTTCCTCTGGAACTGCTGATGTTGGCTATGTTACTTGTAAGGATTTCTGGCAATGACTGAACCAGTTGTGTTTCTGAAACACTGAGGGGTCTGAAGCACTAGGACTCTGGTCAGACAGAGGCGCATGCCCAAGCACTTCGTGAGAAGAGGTGGTGACAGGAACCAAGCACCCTCTCTGTGATGCTCACACACAGTCCTAACAGCAGTGTGTGGTCAGTCAAGGTGTGCAGGCAACCAGCAATTGGTGTGGCAGCAGCAGGACCTGTAGTGCTCCCTCTGTTGCTACTATTAGAGTGCCAATCCAGGAACAGAACCTTGGACCCTCTAGCCTTGCATGCCTGGAGTCAGGACAACTATGGGGGCTTTTCTGAATCTTTAAGCTGCAGGTCCCACCAGGAAGCAAATGGGAGCCAAGCATGACTAAGGCAGGCAAAATTCTCTCAGGGCCTTGTATACCCAGGAACAGGGTGACTGCTGGGGGTTTTCTCTTCCTGACTCCTTCAGTTGAAATGCTCACAAGAGGGATCAGGATGTAGCCAGAGCTAGGCAAACTTTCTCTATATACCTCTTTGGCTATGCTCCCACAGTGTTGCTCAAGGTCCCCTCAGCACATTCCTGTGGGGAGCCGTCAGGGAACCATGATATTCCTTCCCCACCCTGTTAGTAGCAGGTACCTGTGCACAGGGCAGGAGGAAGGAGCAAACAGAACTGCTACTGCCTTCGGTCTTGGCACAAACATGAACCTGCATGAGACTGGCCACACTTCTGATCTCAGAGGGCAAGATTCCTTATCTCCTGGTTCTTTAAGGCAATGCTTCCCAACCCCCTCCATGTCCCCACACCAATCYCCTATAGTACAGGGCCCCTAACAAGGCAGGTCAGAGTCACTCTGATGGGCCCAGTCAGGCTTGTTAGGCAAGTATCCACTCACCCAATGCAGTGGAATATCTATGGAGACCCAGAGATAGGCATATGCAGGGGCTTCAGACCCATAGAGCAGTCCAAATTCAGACAATAGGTCCTTTCTCCAGATGGCTCCTGGCTACCATACCAGGTAGAGTGGGAGGGGATGTCTTCCAAGCCAGACTACTGTGTGAATTTCAGGCCTATTATCTGTTTAGGCTGTATGCCTATTATGACAACAAAATTTTCCAACAGCTAACATTGCCAGTATCTGTACTTAAAGAGCTTTCTGGGACTCTCTCTTTCACCCTTAACCCTGAAAAGTTGACATTCCCCCACTCCAGGTTTGGAGCTGGGAAGACAGGTGCTAGGATATTTTGTTTCTCTGGTTATATCATTGTCACTGGTCTCTGTGACTTACAAGCTCCCAGCCTCTCTCATGCTGATCTCCAGTGGTCTCCCATGATCACTCACCTCAAAATGAGACCATACATGTGTTGCTTTGATTCTCTTTTGTAGAGAGGAGGGAAAGGCTAGATGCCTCTATTCCATCATCTTGAAATCTCTGCTTCCTGGATTTCATTTCCCAGCTTCCAAAATGTCCTAAGGTTGTTTTCTCTGTGCATCTCTGCACACCTGCAGGTCAAGGGTAGCAGAGGCTAAGGTTGGWGAGACCTGGACATCCTGGAGCAGAGAAAATAGATCCTTCTGAATACATTTTTTAAAGTTTTAAAGTAATAATATATGCTCAATAAAAAGAAAAACAGGCAAGACTGAAAAAGAATACATCCAAACAATAAACAAATATAAGAAAATGTGCTCAAACACACTAATTATAAAGGAAATGCAAATTAAAGCTGCAGTGGGATATGGGTACATATCTTCCCAAATGTTTTTGTTTTAAAAACTGACATAATCAAGAACTGGCAAGATATAGAATAATAGGAATTGTCATGTATTATTCATGGGAGTATACCTTGGAGTAAACATTTTAAAAATAATCTCTAGCAGGTTATCTCTTAAAGTTGAACACATGCATTCTCTAGGATCCCACAATTTCATATACATACAACATAAATTCTTAAAAGCATATGCTTAACTATATGCATATTATTCACAGTGGCTTTTTCTATAACAATTCAAAACTGAAAATAACCCAAATGTCCCATCAGCAATAGATCTATTTTTGTGGTATAAGCATTCAAAAGAATATTAAATGACCATGAAAATCAATGAACTATAGTTATACAAAAGTTCACAGGTAAAGAAATATTATACAGTGATGAAAATCCATGAAGTGTCATTTTACTTTAATGTATGAACATGCACAGATAAATATCAGAAATGTATGAGTGAAAGATTCCAGATACTATGCACATATATTATTTCATTTATACATATTTCTAAAACATACAAATTTACAGAAGGATGATAGTTTTTTTCCTTTGCTTTTATTAGTGCACTATACTTAAATGTAATAGTTGATTTCAATTTAACAAACTCATACATGAATGAAATTTAATTTTCTCCATTACAGTCCCTGGTGCTCCCCATTTCTCTCTCCTGCCTTCCCCTATTCCCCTTCTTCTACCCTACTGGTCTTCCTTTCGCTCATTCATTTATTTGGTGCTTTATAAACAAATGTAAAGGTGGAATTCACTGTGGTATATTTATACAATGCACATAGTGTAATTTTGTCAATTTCATTCTTCTTTTCTTTTTCTTTCCCATCCCTCCTCTCTCCCTCTCCATCTTCTTCTACTCCAACTGATCTCCCCTATACCTTTATGATAAGGTTGGTGGTTACTTT